AAAATAAAACCAGTTAAAAGTATTCCACAAACAATAAATTAAAATAAAACCAGTTAAAAGTATTCCACAAACAATAAATTAAAATAAAACCAGTTCAAAATATTCTACACACAATAAATTAAAATCAACAATAAATTAAAATAAACCTTTAAAAAAATTCTATACTCAATACTTTTAAATAAAACAATTTAAAAAAATTCTATACACAAAAAATAAAATATTTTTTTTAAAAAACATTAAAAGCATAAAAAGAAAATAAAAGAAAAAAACAACCAGGTCACTTACCAGCAGGCAGAATCAGCAGCTCTCCGATGCGATGGATGCAGCAGGGAGCAGGCAGGCGACAAGGCAGCAGGTAAGCTGGACTGAAGGGACAACCGGGTCAACTAGGCCTGCTGGAGACTAGGGGGTAGCAGGAAACCATCTTTTGGCCACGCAGCATACGCCAGCTTGCAGCTTTTGCGATGGAAGGCCTGAACGTCTTCCCTCTTGAAAGCTGTGCACTGGCATACGCTAGCTTCCCGCCGCCGCTGCCACCCACCCCCTTTCCGCCAGGTGGCGTACGCCAGCCCGTGGCTTTCACAAGGTTAGGCCTAAAGGCCTTCCCACATAAAAGCTGCAGGCTGGCATACACTAGCTTCCCATCACCGCGCCCCTTTTGGTCACACAGTGTACACCAGCTCCTGGCTTTCGCGAGGGAAGGCCTTCCCTCGCAAAAGCCTGAAGGCGTTCCCTTGCAAAAGCCACAAACTGGCGTACGCTAGCCTCCTGCCACCGCCCCCTCACACTTAGTTGCTTACCTGAGGGAAGCAGCAAGCTGCTGACAGGCAAAGCGAAGGGAAGACCCGATCAGCAAGTGTGATGTGACAGCTGCTCAGGAACGAGAAAGACTCTTTTCAAAAGAGAAAGACTCTTTTCAAAAGAGAAAGACTCTTTTCAAAAGAGGAATGTTGGCCATTTGCACCATGCTTTTAAACGGGCGTTAGAGGTGGGCAGGTCGACCAACCTGCTCACTGATTGGCTGTATTCCAGCCAATCAGTGAGCGGACGGCTGGGCTAGTTTAATGTGCATGGGCGGGGGAGTGAGCGAGCTGCGATGGAATGGGTGGGGTGAGTGAGCGACAGGGCGGGGGCAGGCGTTCCGGAACTTACTTCCGAGTCCACCAGTGGAACCTCTTCTAACCGATACAGTAGATTTGACGAACCTCTTCTACCGAATCGGTTAGAACCGGCAGGAACTCACCTCTGGTCAGAATAATTAATTGGATGAGGACCTAAAGTTTGACACTCAAACCAGTCAAGCTGGCTCTAGACTGGATAAAAGGGGCTTTATTATTCATATTTTAATGTTTCATACATCAACAATTTTGGAAGCACACATATGCAAAAATATTCAGATGCCAGAAAAAACTCCTGTTTTTGCCAGAGAAATGTGGAGCTGATTAGTATTAGGGATGAGAAAGAAAAGGCACACAAAGATAGTAGCTTAATACAAGTAGTCCTTGACTTAGTACCGCAATTGAATCAAAAATTTATATTACTATGTAAGACAGTTGATAAGTGAGTTTTGTTTCATTTTATCACCTTTCTTGCCCCAGTTCTTAAGTGAATCAATACAGTTAAGTTAATAACATGGTTGTTAAGTAAATCTGACTTCTGCATTGACTTGCTTGTCAGCAGGTCACAAAACATGACCCTGGGACTGCAACCCTCATAAATACATGCCAGTTACCAAGCATCCAAATTCTGATCACACGACCATGGGGATGCTACAATAATCGTAATTTTGAAAAATGGCCAAATATTCCACTGCTACTACCATATTGCTGGGAAACACCAAAAGTGATATAATACATACCTCTCACTCTTTTCTAAATTTATGGAATAATGAATTAGTGTACATAAATTTTCAGGAATAGAAAAACAGAGCAAAAATATGTGAGTCAGAAAAATGATAATAGCTATTGTTAACTTTAAAATCAGGTATCCAGTTGGCAGTCGAGAGGGCAAAGGTAAGAAGCTGCTAATAGGTACTAATGGTTCCTATTTTTTTACATAGTGCTGACAATAATAATACAATTGCATATACATAGTTTTTATCTTCCAACTTCTAACCTTAATATGCTCATTATAATTATAGTACACACACACACACACACACACACACACACACACACACACACACCGTGTTTCCTAACTTTCATTCAAATTTCCCACTTTGCCACAATCTTCTCCAGTAGATGGCTTCCCTGCTCCCAATTCCAGCATTCAGAATGTAAAAGTCAAAACAGCTGACTGTCAGCCATTCAGGGGGGTTAAAGATAGAGTTTAGAAAAGGCAATTTCTCCCAATAATCACTTTTCACAATGTTATTCAACTTTTTCCAGGCTTTCTATGTTTTTAAACATCCCTTAAATATTTCTTTTGCATCTGTGTCTTTAAGCTTGAGTCTTTCTCTTGAATTTTTAGTCTTTAATACTTCTCCATAAACCCAATCACTGCTTTCTTACTATTTGGAGATTGTTTTTTAAAATAATTTTTAACTTGGGTTAAATCTTTGGGGCAAAAATTGGAAGTTATCTCACCCAGTTTCACTGCTTTGTCCACACACAGTTCCAGCACAGAATCTTAGTCACAGCTTGTGACTGACCAAAATGGCCACCATCCCTGCTGCCATTTAGGAAAGCTTTCTTCGAGTCACTGAGGAAATTGCAATTTCATTGTGATCGATGAAACGCCTTTCCTTTCTTCACCACCTCCCTAGGGAGGCTTAACCCCATAGGGTCTCCTGGCAAGCAGTTTTATTATATGTTGGCAGTTCAATTCACAAACAGATACTTTGATCTTCTAACCCAGTGGTCTTCAACCTTGGCAATCTTAAGTCTGGAGGACTTAACTTCAACTTCTGGCTGGGGAATTCTGGGAGTTGAAGTCCTTCAGGCTTAAGATTGCCAAGGTTGGAGACCACTGTTCTAACCTATCTACTTTTAACATCATGGGTTCCTTTAAGCAACCTTCTAGGCATATTTGAAAGTAAAGATAATTCACTCTTAAAAGGATGGGAAAGCTATTAAATCTGTTCAACACTTTCAGCTAGAATTTCCACTGTGCTAACCTTGTTAATTGAGGTTACATGGAACCATTGAAAGCAAAGAAAGATTGGAAAGACCCAAGAAAAATCTCCACTAGCAGTGCCTTAAAGTGGTCAAATCTACAGAGTAGAAACCACACATTACTGCTGAAAATATTAGCTAGTACTTGAATAGCTGTACATAGTTCTATAACTTGATGCTGTTTATAGAAAAATGATCTGCATGAGAGAATTTTCATTTAAAAAAAACACTTTTCTGGTCAAATCACAAAACATTAGTTTATATCTATTTAAAAAACCTTGATAGACCTAAAACCTTTCAAAATAAAGTACTTTGAGCTGATGGCACAAAAATTTGAACTGTTTATCTTAAGCACAATGGTGACTATTATGTTTTGGAATTGTGTGGCAGCTACAGGTAGAGGAACTATTGTATATATATTTTGTGTGTGTGTGTGTGTGTGTATATACAGTATACTGTATATACTGTATGTGTGTGTGTGTGTATGTATGTATGCATGTATGTATGCATGTATATGTATATGTACAATATATATTGTATATAATGTCCCACAGACAATGAAGAATATGAAGCTGGGAAGAAGTTAGATAATTCAGCAAGACTGAGTCCTAAAACATACCTACAATCAAGTATGAAGTAGTTAAAGGAAAGAGATAAAATGTTAATACTGATCTTCACAATCCCCAGATTTTCATATTGTAGAACATCTGTGCAGAGATCTTAGGCAACTGCAAATACATACTAAGTATGCATTTAACATTTGCAGAGAGATGTGATGTTTAAGTTTGTACCAAGCAGAGGTTATATCAGCTACTGTTCGCATAGGAATTCACTGAAACATATTGTTTGACTGGAAATGTTTAAACTTTAAACATCAAACTACAGGGTAAAGGCTTGAGAAGGAAAGAGAGAATTGCTTCTAAGAAATTATGTTGACCACTCTTCATGGCCTAATAGATTAGCATTCATAGTGCTAGTGACATTTATTTATTTAGATGTATTCCGCCAAGGAAGTCAGTATTGTCATTTAAGGTTAAAGATCAGGTACATCTTCCTACTCTGAGAAGTAATGATGTCCTTTTTCTTGGTTATATATACACTGTCTTTCATAATTTTATATTTTGCTGGCTACAAAAATGAAAAGCGCATGATAAAGTGAAGATTGACATAGAACTTTTTATGTTTTTTACAGATATTTTTCTTGTTTTAATAATACTTTATATTTTTAGTAATCAATTTCGTTGGTTTCAGGGAATTGGAAAGTAAAAGTTAACTGGACAATCAGAATTAATTGGGGAATGAAAAGTTTGCAGTTTTGATTGGGACTTTTTTTTAAAATTAAAAAGTATAAATTCAATTATGGTTGGCCTGTTTAGAAAAAGGGTAGTAATTTTCCTTATTTTAATTTATCTTGATTTTTACAGCAGTGCACATTCAGTTGTAATCAAGGAAACTACTTTCTGCTAAAAAAGAATATATAATACTCAGGCCTATTTGGCAAAAATGTTTAAAATAATCTGATTTTAATTGGATTACAAATCTTAGTAAAACATTAACAATCAATAAAGAATGTATCTTTATTCACAAAGCTGCAGTTTCAACAATTTGCTTTATATGGTATTCGGCCAAGTATATATTACCCAAATATTTCCAGTTAAGAATAATTTGATTCCATAAGAATTTTATGAGATTTGGATATTCAGAATATACATGGAAAATTTATATACCCACGCCAAGGTGACAGTTATGGAGAACGCTTTTACAAAAATGAATGCTATCTCTTTAAGATAAGATGCCTCCATGCTTTGCTCACACAAACAAAATCAATTATGGGCAGATTCCTACTGCTGCTTTATTTTTTTTGTGAAGAGGAGAGATTCTCACGCTAAATATAACCATAGTATTCCTGATAACAGCCTTTTCTTCTTCTCCTGAAATCCACCAAAACTGAAGAAAAATTCAACTGACTGTTCCTAGCAGCTGTGTGGCCCGGAGTTCATGAGGAAAGCTGGCTTCCTGCAGTTCCCTATTCACCACCTGCTTCAAAGGCAGCCTAGCTAGCTATAGTTTGCCGGCCAGGTAGGGTGCCATTGTGCACAGTCTGGGAGGATTAGTATTAAAGCTGCAGCCACCAGGCCCTTGGTCTCCAGCTGCCATTCAGTCTAACATGGAGAGGCTAAGCCTGGCCAGGGTCATCGTATCCAGTGTGCTTTGAACAGGCAAAGGAGCTTCCTGAGAATAGAATCTTCTTGGCAATCATGGTGCAAGCTTGCGGCACAGCAGGTGCCTCCTAAAACACATACATTTGTTTGTGCTGGGGTGCTACAGTTTTTTTTTTCATTTTCATAGTCTTTTCATTTTAAAAATAGCAGGGGAATGTTGAAAAAAGTTTATATAGACATATATAGATATAGAAACATATACATACACACATATACACATTCCTCCATTCATTCATTCATTCATATCGGACGGACTTTTATTTTGGAGACGTTTGTGCACCCATGAAGAGCGGAAGAGACAATTAACCATTTTTAATCTGTATCACTGCTGGATTTCGGGAACGTACATCCAATGTGACAGGGTTTTTTCCCCCATCCTCCCCCCCCCCCAGTGTTCTGACATTCAGTATTGGAGATTTGTTGAATTTGTTTCGTTTTTATGAATAGCACCTAAAACTTAGAATTTTTCCCCCACTTTTTTTTTTTTTTTTGCAGGTGAGGTAACGATGACGTAAAAATAATGGTAAAAACCTACAATGAAATTGTGGGGTTGAAAAAAAATTAAGCAGTAAGATGAGTTGTCATGACGACAGGGATGTTCTGTTGATGAACTGTACTCCTCATTGTCCAATCAGATAGTAGAGCTGAAGCTGGAGCATGAACAGGAAAAGACGCACCTATTCCAAGAACATAACACAGAAAAGGATTGCCTGGTCCGAGACCATGAACGGGAAATTGAGAAACTAGAAAAACAGCTTCGGGCTGCCATGACAGACTACGACAATAAAACCCAGGAATATAGGAAACGAGATGCTCAGGTAATAACAGCATTTCAAAAATAATGGAATTGCCTTTTTTTTAAAAAAAGTCCCCTATTTTCCAATGTTCTTTTTGCTGCACGCTTTAATCATTTCAAAAAACTGGCATATAAACACAATTTTCTTTTTCTATTGTATTTTCATTACCGCCCCATGAGCCTGCCACTACTAAAAAAGGCTTTCAAAAAAGAAAAAAGAAAAAAAGGAGGGGGGGGGTACCCACAGGTAGCCAGATTAAGAATCACATGGTGTGCAATAATTTGGCCTATTATTTATAATCTTGTCTCATTTATTGTCATGATAGATTTAAGAAAAACCGTTATTTATTTCCTTTCTATGTATCTGTAGTAGACCCCTCCCCTTTTGACTTACTCATTGATTTTAAAAATAAATATGCCTGCAATTAGCCTATATATTCTCTGTACTTAAGTTTTTATTAATTTTATAATGATGTTTGGGGATAATTAATATCATTTTATTTTTGCACGTGATTTGCTAAGGATTTATTTTAATGATAAATATATGGGAAATTATGAATTGTGGATTGCTTGCCTTTAGATATGATTTTTTAAATGTGTTTGTGCGTGGGTGTGTAAAATTTTTGTATCTGTATATTTTCATACATAAATGCATTAAAGTATATAAGTACACATATATTGGGTTCTGTGTACACATATGTACATATAACAAACATATATATCTTCCATTTTTATGATGACTGTTAGAATCCATTTACCATAGTAATTCCCAGCTATGGTGTGTTTAATTGCTCAAATGTACAGGTTAAATCTGCATTGTTGATATGGAAAATTTTCTTGATCGTTCCAACTAAAAATATATAACCTATGCCAGTTGTTTTGAACATAGTTCATTATCTAGAATAAATATACTTTAAAAGGCCTGAAGCGAAGACACTTAAAAATGGAAAGTAATAGAATAGGGAGACAATGACTGTTTAGCAGTTCTCAATAGAATAGTTTGAATAATTTGGTAGAAAATGTGGATAATTATTATCATAGTTTAATATATATATTATACATAAAGACATGTATACACATATACACACACATATACGCACTTTGGAGCCTTTTCTCCATACTTGAAGAAAAAAACAGCTCATGTTTTTTTTTCTTCACTGCAAATTCATGAGTTATTGAAAAAAGTTAATTATTTATTTCATTTATACCATGTCAGTAATACAATCCAGAAATTCAGTATTTATGGTTGGTTTAAAAAGAAACAAGGAATAGAAGGGAAGAAGGAACTGTGCTCAGTTTTTTTTGTTTATTAGTCAAATAATATGTTATGTTGATGTTTAATAACAAATGTACTTCTTAAAAGATAGATAGCTTCTTCTTCATCATCAGTCTTATTATATTTCCGTATTTATATTTGTATACATTTGTGATATAGGTACCATTTATCTTTTTAATGCAGTGCAGTTTGTTAAAATATATGCATTCTTACTATTTTATGTTTAATGAAGCTCATGATACATGAAGAACATCTCTCTAAAAATACGGAAACTTTATGTTGCAACCAAGGGATTCCAAAGATTTATCTACTGTATAGTTGGATTAAAATCACTAGGCTATTTCATCATTAAATTATTCACATAACTTTTTAAATCACAGAGATAATGAGTTATTAGAAACAGTTGCAGAATCATTTCAAGTAGGCGTGTGATTTGGGACCTACCATCCATAATATTTTCTAATTTTTCATGTCCTTGTTAAATCATCTACCTATTGGTTTCAATTTATAACATGTTTATGGTTTTTTATATTATTACTTATTTAGTGTTTTCAATAACTGTGCAGTGTTTTTGAAGGCTGTGCAATATTATAAATATTTAATATGTAGTGGGAAATAATATGTAGTGGGAAATAAAAATTGCAAACAGTTGCTTAAAATTAATATATTAGTATTGAATATCTTCTAAAAATAACCATAGTGACATTACAGAAATAACAGTTGAAGCGATTGGTTGATTGGTTTTTGATGTAACTCGCATGTATTGTGTTTTGCTACCATCTTCTATTTTAATATGGATAGGAATGGAATTTTTATTGAGCAAATATCAGTAAATAACAATAAAAACCATGGTTACTTGTATGTACTGAATTTGCACACTTTGCTTCTTCTCCACAATTGGTTGTTGGAAATTATTTTATTTACTTTATATAAATAATGTGAGTAAACAAATCACTATTACTCAACCAATGAGAAATTTAGCAGTTTCATATTTTTTTCTTACTCTGAAAGACCAAGCTGATCCACAGGTTTAGATTTTGAGGCATAGGTATGAAGATGTGTGGTGATTATCTTTTACTTTAAAAGTTTAATAAATTACCATTATGAAAGAGTGCTAGAAAGTTTTGATTATGATTTTATTTATTAAAATGTTTGTACTCTTTTTTTTTAAACCATTAAAAACAATTCAGTAATGTTTATTAAAAACTGAAATACAGATACTACTGAGAGATATTTGGGTATATGCAGTTACTCTAAAATTTGCATGCAGAATATTTAGATGATCTCTTCTGAAATTAAAACTAATAAAATAGCATCACTTTTTTCATAGTTTCTTTTTAACGAAATGACTTGCTTTATAAGTATTTTTATTACCTTCTAGCAGATGTATCATTTCACCATCACATAATTTCTTTTGTCTAGTTAATGACACCTTTTCTCTAGCATATTACCCATTTTTTGCTCCTTGAGTGAACATGTAATTTTGGACTTCCTATCTGTCTGGCTATGTGCCTATTATTCTCTGATTTCAATTATTTCAGTTCTGTCAGCACAACTGTATAAACATAAAAATACATGGTTAGAATGCAACACTCACATAATAATGAACCCAATACTCTTTGAAACAACTGGGTTTTCACAAGCTTACCTTTAGATACAGCAGGAAGGAAATGTGTTTCACAAAATCTTAGTACTTTGTTTTGATTGTAAAATGGGCATAATAGAAACCAAGTCTTTCCCCTCGTTGTCTGTTGTCTTTGTGTTTTCTTCCATTCACAAATGTTTCTATATTAATTGAGTAATAGAATTAGACTTCCTGACCAAGGATACGGAAAGGAGACATCAAAAGGATTGATGTAATATCCACTTGATCCTAAACACTTGTCATCCATTAAGGGAATGTATGTTCAAATAGTCATGTGATTAGACAAATAGAAGCTACTGTGGATGCTTTCATCTAGGGAAGCAAACTCCTAGATAAGATACAGCACAATTTCTCCTAGCTTTCCTCCTTCACTTTGCACCAGCAACTGCTTTTGCCTGTTTGATCTCTTGTAATTCTTTTTCTGTTTTGTTTTTTTTTTGCCTCACTTAAGCTTTAGTTTCTTTCATTAAATTATATTTCTATTCTTGATCTGCCTTTAAAACTCAATTCCTCTGGTTTTTTTTAAAAAATATTTTACAAATAATGAGAATTCTAATCTCTTTCTTCCTTTAGTTTCTAGTTCTTTGCTCCAGTTGAGGCAAATGAACATTAATATTTTTATTTAGAAATGTGAGAAATTTTGAATTTCAAAACTAGGCTGAGAAAGATCTACACAAATTGGATCTTTTTGAAATGCTGGAATGGGATGTGAACTGATATATTTTACAACCTACACCCATTATTAAAATAGTACCAGGTGCAACAATTAGATCCTTCTAGCTGGTAGAGTCTAATAGCATATATTAACATAATGCTTCTTAGTCAATTCAGGCATAGGAGCAATATGCATCAAGGATATCAGTCATGTAACCTGCTTGTAAAACTGTTAAAACAACCTTTTCTCTTTATTTGAGAGTAATAAGCCAGTATCATCACTGGGCTTTACATTAAGGGAAAGAGGGAACAGCATAGGGCAAGAAAATTTTTTATCTTCGCATTCTGTTTAAAAAAAAGTGTTCTGTATAATAATAAGTCACACCCACTTCTTCCCTCCACTTCCCCCCATCTTAGAAAGAGAGACATATTCTTAAAGACACAATGTAAATCCTTCTGCACTTCCAGTATCTTGGATCTATTTCAGAGAGTCAAAAGAATCAAATTCATGTTCTTTCTCAATTCTTTTTGTATTGAAAGAAAAACATGAAGGAAAGCCTTAAGGAAAGAAATTCTAAATATTGTTATGAAATATTTCTATCCAAAATACACTTGTATAAACAAAAATAATACTGTGTGAATATGGCTTTAAAAAATGGAAACAAATTTTGCATAAAACACTTCTTAAATTAAGTTTCTTTGAAGATTCTGCTATAACCTGACCGCCAATGTTATTTCCCATACCATTAAATCTTAGTTCACTTTGAATATATACTCTCTCTGTGTGTCTGTGCATGGATGCATGCGCACGCACGCACACACACATACACACACACACACGGACACACCTCAGAGAACCCCAGGTATTCAACTTACATAATTTCATTATTTTTCTTGAACCACAGGATAACAATCTCAAAAATTAAACTTTTGAGTCTAAATTGATATATTTCCAATGAAAAAACTTTCCGCCAATGAAATTTGCCTATTAGTTTACACCTTGAGTTTCATTCACATCAATTAATGGTAACCACTGAAATTTATGAGCATAGTTTTTGTTAATGAATGTCATCGTATTTGCCATCCTTAATTATAGTCTACAGTTGTTTTTTTTACAATAAAGCTACATTACAATTATCAATATTTATAAATTAACCGTGCCTATAACCTTAAGCATCAAAATGCTCCTGAAATCCTGTAGTCAATGTAGTCCCCCCAATAATTCCAAAAGTTGTCATTAGATTATAATTTTTAATGTGGCCGATGGGTGGTTGTAATTAAATACATAAGTAATGAGCTGTCCCACATTACACTATATTTAATTTTTGTAAGCCTAAATATAAATGTAATCTAATTTAATTTCTCTCCTGGTCCTGGTTATAATCCCTAGCATATGACCTAAAAGGCCAAGTGAAACCTTCACTCTAGAAAAATCTAGGTACCCCTG